AGTTCGAAACACTAAGACCTACATATGCTAGGGACGGTTTAGTTAAAAATACTAAGCCCTACCTATTTGGAAATAAGTTGGATTAACAATAAAAGTTAAGTCCTACTTATATATGTGTATATGCACCGGTATGGGACGGTGGTATCTTAGAGACGGCTTAGTTCAAAACACTAAAACCTATCTATTCTAGGGACAGATTAGTTCAAACACTAAGTCCTACCTATAGTGAAATAAGATGGATTAACTACAAAAGTTAAGTCCTACTTATATCTATGTGTCAGGGCAATAAACCTTTTGAATGACACACCTTGAACGGACTTTATATATTTATGTTATAGAGCCATGGTATGAGCTTGAGTCTCAAGACCATGGTTAGGGTGTGTATATCGCCTAAGATGGATAACTGGACAGTAGTTGCTGTTCCCCGGTAAGTCTAGGTACACATGACCACATTATGTGCGATTTGCATAGTATCTCTACTTAGGCTGAGACAGACCTATTGGACTAGTGAGCGTCTTATAGTGTGTACTTATATATATATGGACTACTCTAGATATTGTTAAGTTATCTAAGATGTATCTGCGTATCGGGTTTCTGTCTGGATCGTAGTAGAATAGGACTTGCATGTGGGCCTGACCCACTCTCTTATTTTTCAGGTGCTCGTCAGTTCCAGAGTTAGAGCTTGGTCGTGCAAAGCAGATACAGACACTCATTCCTCTGACGACGTATGATTCTTTCCCAAGTTTTAGAGCTGGATTTTATCTTCAGTTGTTTATTTTAATTTTGGGATTTTTGTTACGGGTCCACTTGATGGATTCCCGAGTTGTTAATTTTATGAAGTTATTTTGGAGTTTGGATTTTAATAATTATATTTTGAGGATTTTCAATTAGAATTCGTTTCAGCCATTTATTATTTATTTCTTATTATTTTAATTTTTATTCAGTGTTAATTTAAATATTAATTATTTGATATTCCCTCGGGTTTGGGCCTGGGCCTGATCAACCCGTGTCTCAGATTCGAGGGGTATCACAGCAGTTCTCCCTTATCTACATGATATGTTAGTATCTATTCCTATTGTGGAAGAAATCCAAACATGTTTTCTCTCTATGAACAAAGACAAATCTCCGAGTCCTGATGGGTACAATGCTTATTTTTACCATGTTGCCTGGTCTATTGTGGGAGGGGATATTGTTGCTGGTATTAGGGCCTTTTTTCTCGCAGGAAAATTACTTAAAGAAATCAACAACTCATACATTGCTTTAGTTCCAAAAATACCAAATCCAATGACTCTTAATGACTTTCGCCCAATCTCTTGTTGCAACACACTTTACAAATGCATTGTAAAACTGATTGTTAATCGACTCAAGCAAACACTTCCCTCTCTAATTGACCCTTGCCAAAATGCTTCTGTTAAAGACAGACACATTAGGGATAGTGTTTTTTTGGCTTAATAACTCTTTTAAGGGTATCATAGGTAGCTTATGCCTCCCAGATGTGCTATCAAAGTTGACTTAATGAAGGCTTTTGACACTGTTGGGTGGGACTTTCTTATTAATTCACTGGTTATTTTTTGTTTTCCATCTATTTTTGTGGATTGGATCAGGACCTACATTACTTCCCCCTCATTCACTATTTTAATTAATGGGGAATTCCAAGGGCACTTCTCTAGGGCCAGAGGGCTGAGACAAGGGTCCCTATCTCTCCTCTACTCATTGTCATTATTATGGAAGTTTTCACCTCCATCACAATGAAACACATCACTGATAATCCCCAATTCAAGTATCACTCCAGATGTAGAGGGCTGGGTATCTCCCACCTAATATTCGCAGATGACCTTCTACTCTTCTCCTACGGGGACCTTGCCTCCATTGACACTCTTAAGAGATCACTGGACCACTTCTCTGCACTTTCCGGGCTATGCATCAACCCTTCTAAGAGCAACTTCTTCATTTCTGGCGTTAGCTTAGACATGGCTAATTATATTGGGACATTATTGGGCTTTGATCGTGGAGAATTACCATTCAAGTATCTAGGTGTTCTGCTTATCTCTACATCACTTAAAGCTATTCACTGTAGGGGGCTGGTAGAGAAAATCACTAGGCAAATCACTCACTAGTCATCAAGCCTTCTATCATATGCAGGGAAATTACAACTTATTCAATCAGTTCTTTTTAGCTTGATAAACTACTGGATTAGCCTATTCATCCTCCCTAAATCGGTGATTAATGAAATCAATTATCTTCTAAGGAATTTCCTATGGTCAGGGAATGAACTTAAACACACAGGGGCCAGAGTTACGTAGGCTAATGTTTGTCGACCTAAAGTTTGTGAAGGTTTGTGGTTTAGGAACTTGGAGGTTGCTAACACCGCAGCTTGTCTGAAGCATTTGTGGAATGTTATTGCTATGCACAGGGACAATATTTGGGCTAGATGGATAAGGGCTCAGCTTGTTAGGGATCGTTGTTTCTGGACTTTGAACATCCCTCAAGCCTGCTCAGGCAATTGGAAGAAACTCATGCACCTGAGAGGGGTGGTTAGGTCGATGGTCCAGGTTAAAGTTGGGAATAGGGCTTCGATAGATTTTTGGGATGACAATTGGCTCCCTAATGGTCCACTTAGCCTACGCACCACAACCAATTTCATTAAAGACTCACCAATCTTGCAGGGACAGAAACTCTCCACACTTGTGACTAATGGCGCCTGGAACTTCCCTAATAAATGCATTCTTCAATTTCTAGAGCTCTTGATGATCGATCCGCCTTCCACTTCAGTTGATGAATATCAGTGGATCCCATCACATGACGGAACCTTCTCTCTCAGATTCACAATCGAATGTCTCACTCCTTATTACCTGCCGACAACTTGGCACCACCTGGTCTGGAACAATTTCTCCATCCCTAGGCGCAAGTTTTCTCTCTGGCTTGCAGTGCAGGGCCGTCTGTCTACCCTTGATTGAAATTGTATGTTGTCAATTGCTGGCGCTGGCCTCTGCCATTTCTGTCTTTCTGATGTAGAATCGCATGAACACCTGTTTTTTTCCTGCCCATTTTCATCACCAATTTGGAGCTTCTTCAAAATGAAGTGCCAATTTCAAGCCCCTCCATCTTGGGTTGATTTGATTCTTTAGGCATCGCGCATTTGGAAGCAGAAGAATCTACAGAACTCAATCAACAAACTTACTCTCTCCACCTTCATCAATCGGATCTGGACTGAACGAAATGATCAAGCTTTCAAAAGGAAGAGGAAATCACAAGCACAGATCCTCAATGAGACAATGGACATGGTCAAGCAACACCTCTTCTCTATGAAAGTGAAGGACTCTGCAGCGGCTCGGAGAATAGTCGTCGATTGGGGACTCCCTGGAGCCTTCATCAAACCACCGACGGAGCCACCAAACTGATTACAGCAGGAGCGTGCTTAGCGGCTTAGCTTCTCTATTATTGTTTGGTACCGGATTGTTTTGGATTGTTGGCGTATATAAGATTAGTCTAGGGTTTTGTACCTTATCATTGTCTTTGTTCAACTTTGATGGACTTGGGCCATTGTTTTCACAGTCTTGGACTAGTCTGTTGTATTGGGCTTTTGCCCTGCTTGGATCGTGTACAGTTACATAATCAATACACTTTAACTTTCTAATCAATCAATCAATCAATCCGTGGTTGGAAATCCGTGACCACCACGGATCCTTTCTTTTTGAGATTCCATGCACTTTTATCATTGTATTGATTGATAACTATCTTTCAAACAGTTGGCTTCAATGAAAAAACAAATAAAATGTACCACCTAACCAGGCATTCACGTTTTAGTGATTTTATTTCATAGATACAAACGGAAAAAAGACGAAATTTATTCCACTTGAAAGGACATGTCATTGATCTAATTACTACAATTGAAAGAAAAATTAGATTAACGGGGTTGGGTGATATTTTGGCGTCGAGTTCTTCGTTTAAATTGTGGTACCAAATTGATTAGACAAAAAGGGAAAGGTAATAGGGGGAGTAGTTCACAACTCCCACGCTTCAATGAAGTTTGTAGTGTTGCGGACCCCCTATTAATTGACAAAAAACGCCACTTCTATGATTTGATAGTTGCTCGCCCACCAGAGGTGTTTTACTCCTAAAACAAGCAATCATCAATCTTACAAATTATTAAAGAATCAATCTTACAAGTCGAGAGGAGAATTATATGTGTCGGAAACAAATACTTTCTAAATATGTGTTACTAATATTTTATATGTGTTTATAAATAAAAATTAATTTTATTATTTTAAACATTTTATCGATATTTTTAAATACATGTCAAAAATGATCATTAATTTTTATTACACATAGGTCAATAATTTATAAAAAAGTGAAAAATACCCTACTGAAATAATTATTTACCCTTGGACCAATTAATTTTTATTGCAAATAGGCCTATAATTTATAAAATTTTACAAAATGCCACTAAAATTAAAGATATTTTTTAAAAATATTTTTAATTTTTCCTTTCTTTTCATTCTTACTCCTCATCATCTTCTTCTTCTTCTTCTTCTTCTTCTTCTTTATATTCTCTTAAAAAAAAAAAAAAAAGTTACATTCCTTTATTTATTTATTTTTTCCTCTTCAAAGTTTGGTAATTAAATTTGTTGCTAACAGGACTCTTGAGGTGTATTTTATGTTTTTGTTTTTTTTAAATAATTATTTTTCAAATTATTAAATGCTATTATTCCACCATTATTACAGTTCTATTTTTTGACTTGTTGTCTTGCATCACTATTCGCTTAAAAAAAATATGATTTATTATCTTTAATAAGGACCCACGCAAAACAAATTCCTGACTCCGCCCCTATGTAGGTATATACATACATATCATTGACTCGTGCACGCATTAATTGCCAAGGGGTGTGCTCTTTGAATCAATCAACGGTAAAATTTTTGCGTGTAAAATATTGAGCACGTTTATATTTGGGACTACAGGTAGTTTCGATGCTTATAAATCTAGTTCATATTTCCTCAGATAAATCATATCATAGCTTGGTTATTGCCTAATATTTTCTTAGATTATAGCTTGGTGTGTGGCTTTGTTTTTCCACAACTTCTACAAAATTTTCAAGTATGGCTAGCCTCCCAATACTATCAACTGCCGCAAGAAGGTAAGGTCATCAGATCCTCTCATTTTTTATTTTTTTGAGAAGCAAATCTTCTTCACTTTTCTCCCAAATAATACTAATGCTATGTTTTGGATTATTGAATCGTGGACTTTGATTTGAAATTGAAACAAATTTAGTTTAAAATTTTAACAAATATTTCTCCAATTATAAATCTAAGTTGACGATTCAGTGGTCCAAAACATAGTATTAGTAGTATTTGGGAGAAAAGTGAAGAGAAAAAACACTTGAAAATTACTTTTATTCTAAGAATAGAGGCAGGAAGTACAACATTTAATACACTTATGAGCAAACAAATGACTCTTGGACAATGTATGAATTACAGATGCTGACTAACCAAAACATGTATCTATTTGTCTAGAAAATTTTATTAATTTATAATTAATTAAAATCAAGTTTAATTACCAGTACAATCTTTAATAGCTTATAGGTGCTAAATTGCTTTTGCCACTTTTGACTTGACTTCTTAAGAATTGCATGGCAAAAGGGCCCAAAGTTGTTTCATAGACCAACCATGTTGAATTCTTGCTTTGTCATGAATTTTGAAAACTAGATTGGAAGGTAAGGTGGCTCTGATCACAGGCGGGTCTGCCGGCATTGGATCCTACACAGCCAAGCTATTCTGCCAACACGGCGCCAAAGTCATGATTGCCGACATCCAAGATGATCTTGGCCATTCGATTTGCAAGGACTTAGGTCCAACTCATGCTTCCTTCGTCCACTGTGATGTCACAAATGAAATGGATGTCAAAAATGCAATTGACAAGTCTGTTGCCAAGCACGGCAAGCTTGACATAATGTTCAACAATGCAGGCATCGGAGGAATTAAAAGACCCAACATTTTTGACAACCATACAACTGATTTTGAGAAAGTTTTTCGTGTTAACGTAGTAGGTCCATTTTTGGGCACCAAGCACGCAGCTCGTGTGATGATACCGGCTCGTTGTGGAACAATAATCAACACGGCTAGTGTTTGCACTGTGATTGGAGGTGGTGTTTCACATGATTATGCATGTTCCAAGCATGCATTGCTCGGGCTCACCAGGAACACCGCGGTGGAACTAGGAAAGTTCGGAATTCGTGTTAATTGTGTGTCACCTTATTTAGTTCCAACTGCGATGGCCAGGGATTTTTATGAACTGAAAGATGAGGAATTCAATGATATATATTCAAACCTCAAAGGGGTGTCTCTCAAGTCAGAAGATGTGGCCAAAGCTGTTTTGTATTTGGCTAGTGATGAGTCTAAATACGTGAGCGGACACAATTTGGTCATTGATGGTGGTTTTTCGGTTGTAAATGAAGGTTTTTCAATGTTCAAGGAATGAAAAATGGTGCTCTGTTTTGAGTTGATCAATTTGACAATAAGTTGAGTTTATTTTAATAAGCTTATGTTCTTACAAGTGTGCTAGTGAATATATTCTTAAGTCTTGGTTGAATAGTCAAATATGTGCAAGAAATGTGGAGTCTCAAGATTTGGTAGACTCTGTAGTCAATTTTTTAAGTGTTTTCTAATGTGCCACGTCGTACTACTTTGAAGAAAGAAAGCCGCGTAACAATCTCTCTCTCTCTCTCTCTCTCTCTATATATATATATATTTTGAAGTGTATATTGTACATTGAATGTGTACATAACAGTGAGGTGTAAGGGTAGTCAACAATAATTGTTTGGTTGATGTGTCGGTGCATTAATAAATAGTGGGATGCATTTTGAAAAACGAGAGCTGCTATTTCACCTGACTAATAAACATCTCATGAAAATCGATTCCTACGCGACGTGTCTATGGCTCACTCCTTCTTTTTTATTTTCTTTTTCTTTTCTTTTTTTCTTTTTTTTGCCACCAGTTTATATTATTTTCCACCAATTCTGCTAGTCCTCTCTTTGGGGTCAGCGACGAGGACAGGGCAATCCATACACCCAAACAGTGAAACCCACGGACAAGGAAGGGAGGGAAAGCAATTGGTGCCGGAGAATCGCCGGAAATAGAAGAGATTGACGGAATCACTACATCAGCCATGGATCTGGAGCGAGCTCAGTCTCTGGTTAGAATCCGATAATATCACAGAGTTTTCAGAATTGACGAAATTGTTCAGAATTTCGTTCGTCGTAGAATGACGATTCGCCCATCACGTGAAAAAAGAGAGGAGAGGGTTTTGCAGAGGAGTGAGAGGGAAGGGCTGTGAGCAGAGGAGCAGAGAGAGTGTTGTAAGCAAATAGTCGGTTGCCAAGTGGAAGTCAGTTTTTTGTCGGTATTTATTTGTCGTTTGAAAAATTAGTAATAGTGTATCCTGATGTGGTGGACATATTAAAGACTGGCATGTCTGATTCATTAAGTATTTTTCTTGCATTGTGCTATATTAGAAACGATTTTTGCTTGTATTTAGGCCTCGGTAAAAACTTTGACAGAAAAGTCTAACTTCACTTTGATAGAAAAGTCTAACTTCACTTTGACAAATAAATTTAATTAATCAACGTATTCATAACATAATTTTTTTCTTCAATTGAATTAACTTTTCACTAATCTTACCATAAATTACAAGCACGTGGGACATATTTTCTTATATTATTACCTCTTTAAAATTTTTATTTACTTATTATTAGGTCCCATCAATAATAGAGATTTAATAGTGAACCCAAAAAAATATAATTCAACCAAAAAATTTTCCTTCCATTCTATATTAAAAATCAGGCTCCAAAAAAATTTTAAAAAAAATAAACTCAACAAAAAAATATTAGCCTGGCAAAAGGTAAGATACGCCAAATTGTATGGTCTATTCTCCCTACTGTAAATCACTAGTTTACAACAACTCATCAAGTCTGAAATGCCCAATGATGACGGTAGAAAATTTTAAAATATTTAAATAATAAATATAAAGCTTGTGAAAACTTGAGGGAGGATTTGTTGGGTTAAATTAATTGCAATAAAAGAGGTATGAAGATTTACCGTCCCTCCAATTACGAAATTTGAAAAAGAAAATTGGATCAAAGAGTAAATAAATAAAATTGGGTCAATTAAACAATATGAAATGGAGTAAAAGTGATAAAAGACGAAGTTTCATTATATTATTTTCATTAATTTAAGGATGGAAAAGAATATAGTCTTTTTTCAAGGAATGGTCAAATCAAAAATAGACAGCCATACAATCCATGGAAAGTAACATAAAGTCGAATCCGACAGAAAATATTTCATATCCATCAAATTGGATCTTGGATTGAACCAAATGATGTATTTGATACATTGTTGATAGAATATTAAGTTTTTTTTTTTTGTTTTTTCCTACAAAAATTATTTGGTAAATAAGTTTCCTAAAGAAAAGACAGAGAAATTATACAGAAAAAAGCCGCCAAAGCATAGCTTGGTGTTGAAGTGTTATTTAGCATTGTTCTATGATTTATGTTGCAAATTGATTACAACACAGAAAATTAAGGGTAAAAAAGTTCACAACTTTACAAGATTTTTGTGATTTAATAGTTTAAAAACAGAAGAAAGAGGATATTTTACTGAAATTTGTAACGGCATGATCTATTTCGTTGATCTTATCTATTATTTAGGATGTCAATTCTATAAAATAATTATCAGGAAAAAAAAAAATTTCTATAAAATAATTGTGCTTCCTTGGACTAAATTTAATTTCTAAGAAGAAATTTTTTGTCAACAGAGACAACAATGAGAGGGTGAGCATTTGCTTAAAAAAAATTTAAACTTGTAATGATGGAAGTCTCTGGTAACCCTTAGGGTTAGTTTGGTGTGGTAGAATTGAATGATTTTTTTTTTTTTTTTTTTTTTTTTTCATTCTTGTGTTTGGTATCTAATTTTAAATTTGGAATCGTCATTCCCTACCATTCTTGGAGAACGGTCATTCCATCAAAATTATTCCACCTTCTCACAAAAGGAATGACCATTTCATTCCTACTTTAAAAAAAATACAAACTAAAAAAAATATTAAAAAATAAAACCTAACAAATTACAAAACCCACGCCGGCATCATCGTCTCCTGTATCAAACCCACCGCCAGCATCATCATCTCCTCTATCGACATTGAAACATACAAGAACACACAACCCAACCCAACCCAACCCAACCCATTGTCTAACAAACATAATATTGATCTTGAACTTCAAAGTGATGGACCAAGTAGGGATGGCAACGGGGACGGGATTGAGCGGTTGTACCCTCCCCCCGCCCCCACAACCGTTTAAAAACCCCGCCCCTGTCCCCGCCCAAAACCGCAAAAAGGGGAGAATTTTTCACCCCATCCCCGTAACCGTTTAACATTTTTACTCCCGCGGGTACCTGCCCCGCCCCATTTAAGACCAAAATTTATTTATTATTAAAATAGATTTGCTTTTTTTTTTTTTTTGCCCATCATCTTCAACTCTTCACCATTGCAAATTTCATTTTAATCAAATTCATTTATTACTTTAATATTCTTATATTGGGTACTTAATATATAGTGGAAAATATATATACTAATAAAATAAGGATACTTAAGTAATTTGCCTATCTAAACGGGGCGGGGCGGGGTGGGGCGACCTCCCCCAGCCCCCACACCAAACCCCTACGGGTTTTTATTACATCAAACCATCCCCGCCCAAATAAGCAAAACGGTCCCCCAAAATCGCCAAAAACGGTGCGGGGTGGAGCGGGTAACTGCGAGAACAGGTCAAATTGCCATTCCTAGGACCAAGACACAACAAAAAATCAAAAGTAGATCTGAGTGAAGCAAACAGTGAACATGACCCAAAAGCATTGAAGTTTTTTCGTGATTGTCTCATTGATTTTGTGAAATAATTGCTGAAACCAACTTGGGAAGAGGGTCGTTTGGTCGTCGTTGTGGAGCTCTCTAGCCGCCGTCCTTGATCACCGCCGTTCGTCGCCGCCGATCAAATCGGATCCGTCCTCACCCTTATTCAATCGCTTCCTTCTCCCCATTACCTTTTCTCGCCCAATCTCCAACACCTCGCTTGCTCAGTTTCTTTCTTCTCTCTACTTTCTCTCTCTATCTCTTGCCCCGATTTCCCTCTTACAGACCTCTTGCACACCACTGGATTGGAAAAAAATTTGATGTTAATTTTTTATTATTAATGATAAAGGTAATTTGGAGGAAACAATATAAATGATGATAAAGGTAAAACAATATAAATTCATTCCATTTCAATTTTTTAGTCCAACCAAACAAATAAATGGATATCATTATTTTATTTTTACACATTCCATGTTTGCAACCAAACAAGAGAATGGCAATCATCATTCCCATTCCATTCTTATAGACAACTTTAATCTTACAAAAATTGACAACACTTCCGACTTAGTTTTCAATACTTTAATCTCATCAACAAGAAAACATGATAAATGGGGTATAAATAGATAAGTTGTCACCACACCTTATATCCAACCCATTTATAATCCATTTATACTCATTTCATTTTTTATCTAGATTTGATGTGGGACAAGATCCTCTTGTGAATGGTGAATGAAATGAGTATAAATAGAAAGGGTGTTCGCCGCAAGGTTAAACCCGATGAGGTATTGACCGTGAATTTCATGCTTCAGCTCTATAACCTCCTGCGAGTACAAAGCAAGGTTGAACCAGGTGTTTATGTGTATGTTGTAGGCGTCGCCAGGAAAGAGGGTGAGGGCCTCGTCGTCGTCGATTGTCCGCGGTAGGAAAGATTAGAGAAAGAGTAAAGCTGAATGTATACATGGCATATTAGACATTTCATGTCAGTTAAGGCCTTATTTGGCTCCTTGTTTATGAAATGGGGTGTCATTGTTTAAGTTCCCAAATTTAAGAGGGCAAGTGGATCACACTTTCTCTAAATTATATCTACCCGTCTTTTAGACAAACTAGAATGTCACTGCACCCCATACCTATGATGAAAAAAGGCGCTACTGAAAAAAGTGGGCTTTATCCTCTCCACGGACATTCCGCATAGCACCTCATATATGATGAAAAAAGGTGGTAGTTTTTCCACAATTTTGGTGAGTGCTTTATAATTAGTCATGCACATGATAAATAAGGCAATCCCACACTGAAATGAAAGTGGTAGTATAATTAATTGGGTAAATTACACCGACACCCCCCGAGGTTAGGTCATATTTCAGCTAGATGAAGATTTTGGTTTTATCTTTCACTTACACCCCAATCATGTGAATGGACCATTTTACCCTCAATTTTTTAATACAAAATATATATATATAATCTTAAATGACAAAAAAACCCTTATCCCTACCCCCATACAACCACCACCATCTCCGGCTCCATTAGATGCACCAATTCGTGTACAACTCCTTCAAGTTTAAGAAATTGGTAAAGTAGTTTTGGAACCTTGTTGGAGCATTTATGTCCCAACATTGAATAGAGTTAAGATCTTCAGAATCTTTCAACAATCTATCCTAAACTGTTTCCGAGAAGCAATGACAATTGCTTTGGGGCAGCCTACATCCACCACTAGTCCACCACTTATCCCAAACCACTGCCACCATCTCCATCCCGACATCCACCACCACATATCCAAACCACTGCCACCATCCCCACCTCCATCC